TCTTCTTCGCTAACTACTTGAAAAAAGCGGTTTCAGGGATGTGGATGTTCTAATTCGATTATATCATTTAGGAATCTAGTTTAAAATTGCCTGACGAATTTTGCATTTGTTTTGTTAGTGAAGTGACCTTGTTTAGCATCATCTGTGTACCTATGAACAACTAATGTAATGGCAACAGAGGAGCTACTTTGGAAAATGACAGCTTTACCTGATGTTGTTTGGGTGGATGTGGCATCATGGCAATGTCATCTCTTCTTTAAAACATGAACCTGCTAATCACTGAATATTGGGATGTTAAATTTAGGTAGTCAGATTCAGAATGTAAAATCAATCCTCAAATTGAGAAACACTAAAAATGTTTGCAACCTTAAACTCTGATCATGTATTACTGCAATCATGTGGTAACAGGCAACATTTCTAAGGCCTACAACAGATTCCTTGCAAGTCTCTATGTCAGGAGCTTTAAGGGCTAAAGTTGACCATAATGGTGTCAATGTCATGGTGGCTCTGTATGAGAGTGGATTGGTGACAGACTGTCCCAGGGGAGAGAACAAAGGGCGTGTCCTGTCAAATGACTATGTGGTTAGAAAGCTTGAAAAGCTCTGCACTGTCAAAGACATCTCTGCCAGGAAGACAGTTTCAGGAACTGTTAATTTTGCTTTATGGGAAGGCTTCAATAGCAGCAAATGTGGTGTTGCTGTCTTTGTTGAAGACAGCTCCCATCAAATTTTTGGGTCACAGAGCATTCAGTTCCCGGATACAATATGAGACATTCAGACTGAATCAACGACGATATGCTGGCTATGATCAACATCGGACTTTTGTGTACAGTATGTGTTAGATAATAGTTTCTTTTTTCCTTTTGTTTTTTGATCTTTCTAAAATTTTTTTTACCTGCTTTACATGTGGTAGGAGATGGATTGAGACATTTTCGCGGTTTGCTGTTATAAATTGCTTCATTGATATCTTTGTTTCTGTGGGAAAACGGAATTGAAAAATTGGAATAAGTTGATTGCATTGTATGATTTTGTTGGCATCTAATTACTTTCAAGTAGTTGCAGATATGCTATATCGGTAATAGCATTATAGACTTTGCTTTACCTGGACCATACCCTTCTGAGTCGCAGGGCTAGAAATATTCCTTTTGCCTTCACTACGAAGATTGTGAGGTCTGGCAATAGCTTCCAATGCAATCTTGTAAAGCAGAAATCAGAGGATTTCAAATGTTAAATTCGCAATGAACTCAAAAAACAATCTTTATATTTAGTTCTTGAACATCAACAAGACCACTAGGTTTCTTCACGAAGAGATTTTTTCTGTTCTGAAAAGTTCAGAAGAGAGAAATTCTTCATCAGTGCTTGTGTGAATTTGGATGTTGCCTTCAAGGGCTAAAATTTACGTAGGAGTACATCTCCTGTGGTTTATAGACTTTTATATTTGGATATTTATATAGAACACTCAATTCGAGCCCCAACAACTCAAATAAAACACCATTCTCAATGATTTCTCTGCTGCCTGATACTTCCCATAAGATGTTTTGCCACTTTCCCTTCATGAATCAAAAGAACTGGAAAGGGTTTTAATTTGCACTGCTGACTATCCTATTGCAGCACTCCGTTTCTCTAGAAGAACTGGTGATTCGGGTATGATCATATAACCTTTGAGCCCAAATGCAGCTCCTGGAGTGAAAACAACGCAAACTTTGTTCGTAAGCCTCATTCTAAAAGGTGGTCTCTAAATTAAGATATATGAGGTATTATAAGAAAATATAAATGATGTAAGAATTCACTCTAGTAATCCAAAGTAAAAGGATGATTTTGTTGCACTCAAAATGAACCTAACAATTAGTAGCAATATAGTTTTTTTCATATGGGGTATTGGTCATTAATATATTTATAGGGAATAAATCAATTTTTTTATATTTTTTATGCACAATGAAATAACTATATTGTCTTTAAAAATATTTTTTTAAAAAATATTGATGTCTAGGGGTTTTTTGTATCTTCAAATTTTTAAGATGAGTAAAATGATTTATCTCTTGTTTGTTTGTTTGTTGGGAAATAATTTTTTTTTATATAGTAATTTTCATAGAAAATAGATTCCTGAAAATAAATTATTTTCAAATATCTTACAATATCATAAAAAATAAGTTAGAAAATACTTCACAATATTTGACTATTCCATGTAAAATAAGATAAAAAAATAACTTATTAATACTTTATTTTTTAAGTTTATTAAAAAAATAAAGATTAAATATAACAGATAAAAATGTTGAAGGATAATGAAATTGAAAAAAAAAGCAATTTCATAAATTATTTTAAATAAAACAAATAGCTATAAAAAAATAAGGATCAAATCTAATAAATAAAGAAATAAGAGAAAAAAATTTTAAAAATAAAAATAAAATTTAATATAAAAATAAAATTAAATAAAATTAAGAGCCCAACAATAAAGAGCTAATCAGAAGAATGGACGAAGAAAAATTCAAAAAAATATTAATAATAAAAAAATATTTAAAGAAAAATACAAAATAATTAAAATATTAAAAACAAAATTTAATATAATTAATAAATAAAAATAACTTTTAAAAAATGTATTCCGTTCAAAAATAAAAAAGAAAAATAGTTTCTTTTTTATTTCAATGAAAAAAATATTTTTTGAACTATAAAGTATATTTCAATGAAAAAAAATATAAAAAATATAAAAAATTTTAAAAAATAGTTTTTAGAAAACCAGTTTCTATGAAACAAATGCTCCCCAAAATGCCCTTAAAAGTGGATTTTTCTTTAACTTATACTTAGGGGTATTTTTGTAATTTAAAAAATATAAACATTATTAATAAAAAGGTGGTTAACCTGTAAAATGCACACGTCAATGTGTTGACGATGTATATGAGATTGTTTAGTGATCAAACGCTGCCTTTCATAGTAATATTTGAATTGTCTTAATATCCCTATGTAATGAGACAACACGTATGACCAACGATCATCTGGTTTGTCAACAATAACCTTTTTTTATTTTTTTTCTCCTTGATCTTCAAGATTTCAAAACAACTCTTTAATTTTTTATTCTTTTATATTTGATTTTTATTCTTTTATTGGATAATTTATAAATTTAGAATTTTTTTCAATTTCATCTTCTTTAATTTTTTTTATCTTTCAAGTTTTGTCATTATCCTTTTTATTGTTATTTGTTTTATTTGAAATAATTTTTTAAATTGTTTTTTTTTTACAATTTCACTCTCCTTAGGTTTTTTTTTTTACTAAATTTAGTTTTCATTCATTTGATTTTATTATTTTCTCTTTGGTATATTTTGTAATTGTTTTTTTTTTTAATTTCATCCTTCAACATTAAATTGGTTGGGAATTGAGCTTTTTTTTTTTGGATTTAGAATTTCACAAATTGTGATTTTTAAAGATTGACCTAGTTTTAGAAAGTTCATTTGGGTTTGCATTGTTTTTCCTCTTTTTTTTTTCAAATTTATATCTTTTTAGTTTCATCCTTCAATATTTATTTGATTGGAGATTGAGCCTCATTGATTTTTTATTTTCTTTATGTAATATTTTTCACTAGTTTTAAAAATAACTTAGGTTATTTTGGGTTTTTTAGTCATTGTTTTTAAAATTTATCTTTTTTAAAATATATAATTTTAATTAGATTTAATTGATTAAATGTAAGTATGAGATGTTCACTCCATGATATTTTAAAAAGGAAAGACTTTGTTAATTTTATTTGACAGACATTATTTTATTGACATAAATAATCATTTGATTAAATAAAAAGATTATTCAAATAAATAAAGTTATTAAACATAATCGCACATGTTTCTTGTTGCAAGATCTAATATCTTGATTTATATCACTATCTTGATTTTGTTAATTTCCTCTTTACTTATTATTAATCCTTTATTTTTACATTTATTGGCATGGTAATTATTGATTTATTTAATTAAATATATACATAATTTATTTTTATTTTTTATTGAAAATCTTTTGAGCAAAAACAAGTTGAAAGTGTCTGTATATTATTACATTTTCTGAAAAACAACATTATTCTATAAGTACAGATGAAATAGATAGCATATGCTATTTTGTGTTCTCATTGGTATCTTCCTTCTCATATTCTTTTTTTCTTCAATAAGTAGTATTTCTCATTGTGCGTTTCTATCAAAAAAGGTCCCCATTCCCTATAACTTGGCAATTAAATTCCCTGTAGATGTTTTTTTTTTAACCTAAATCATTATACAGGGGTAAAAGCAGATTTCTAATTTTTCCTGAATGTAATTGCAAATTGTTTCTTACGAATCTGTAATTGCAGATTGCAGATTTCTAATTTTGCCATAAATTTAACATTGATACAAAGTCATGGCCTCTTAAGTGACTTGATCGCTTCTTAGCTCCAATACGCTTCAGCTACAAAAATGGGAAAACCTAAAACACTCCTCTTTCTAGAGGCAGGAACTAAAAAAACACACAAGCAAAGCCATAAAGGTTGGAATATGCTCCGTTGACGGGATTTGAGAGCCGGGTATCCTAACCAACTAGACCATGCATCATCTTGTTAGAATATGGAGAACGCATCCACACTTTTCACAGAGCATAAACGCGAAGGCAAAAGGTGGAAATGAGATGATGTTAGAATAACAAGGAAAGCATCTCTTCGCCGGAAAGTTCACGTCTCTTATCGCCGCACTAGATAATCTAACAGCATGTCGTACAGCAGAAAAAGATCTGACATTGCTTTTGATAAAATGCAATAGCCAACTTTCAAAATTAACTTGAGACAGTGAAAATAAATAACCATACGAGCCCAATATGATCTTCGTGATGGCCTGACAAATGCACGTGATATCTAATAAACAAATGATTATTGACCGAGTATCACTTCAAGCCCAATATGATCTTCGTGATGGCCTAACAAATGATTATTGACCGAGTATCACTTCCAACACACAAAGCCAGCACAAACCCGAGCAACCCACCCCTAAATTATACCGAATAAGATTGATTTATTTCCATTGCAAAACAAATCCCCTATGTACACATGTTGAGGGAGGGCAAGCCCATCCCTAGCACGCCGACCTGACCTCCATACCATCCATCAAACAAATATCGGCATAACTACATGATTTTCTCCTCTTGGTGGCACCTGCCTGCCGACTCAACCCCACCTCCACTTGCCCATTAGTCAAGGGGCTGAATTAATACAACTTACAGCGAAGATCGGACCGCATATAACACCTATTCTACTGCTTCAACATGTTGTCGAGCCAGGTACTTTTCTCGCCGCTCTTTCTGAAGAATAAATAGTAATGAAGGTGAAGAAATTGTATTATGACATGAAAATCATAAAAAGCTGAACACTCATTTAAATCAGAGAGAATATCCATACCCATTCATCTATCACGAGACCTTCCCCCACAACACGGGGCCCTGTGTCTGGTGGAGGTTTCTTGCGTGCCTCAAGAGCAGCCTCTGCTTCAGCCAACTGAAGCTTCAGTTTCTCCATTGCCTTCAGAGAAACAATCTCAGTCTCATTTTTTAGCCTTTTATGCTATACATAATCAACAACTGAACACAGAAAAACAAAATTTACATACAGGACTAGGAAGCTCTGCATCTAAAAACACAACCCGCAATATGCGCTCAACTGTTACTTGATCCTTTTGTTCATCAAACTGCAAAAGGCAAGGTCAATTGGGGTTCAACAAATGGAAGAGGCATAAAAGAAGTAGAAGCATAAGGTATATTTATGAGCAGTCTCTGGCAGCTCCAGAAGTGTCATGTTTGGATGCGCATAATTTAAATGCAGATAATTCCAATCACAGTTTTCCCTGTCAAACATGACAAGAAACAAACGCCAACTATTCAGAAAACTTTAGAAAACATATTGGAAACTTGACAACTCATCCCTTTTTTAAACATTTATATTTGGAGTTCTTTAAAAATCCTCCAATACAAGACAATACTGCACAGCCGTGTAGTTGCAACCCAGCTACCATAACAAACCTTATAAATAAGGCTCTTGTAGGACCTAGATTGAACATCAAGGTTATTTAAAAATCTTATATTCAATCAAACTAAGCTGCAATATAAATAGGCAACAAACAATTATTAAGATGGTTAAAAAATTCAACTCCTCTCTAGTTCACTTGTTAACTAGTGATGCTCATAGGTAAGACTTTTTTTTCAGAATTATGTTTCTTGACCTTGCTTGCACTCATTTGGCATCTTCAACCATGAAAATGAAAAACAGACCACTGCAGTTCTATTTCTAAGCCACTAATTTTATTTCCAGGGATATACTTTCTTTCTTTTTTTAATTCATTAAATTATACTCCTAAATTTTTTTTTAATTCATTAAATTATACTCCTATGCCATGGAATAAGAGTTCACAGAAAATCTTTGAATCCCCCAACCTCATGAACATTTCTGAAAACCCATTATATGACACAAATGCCAATAACCAAAGTTTGTCAGCAGTAAAGCTTCCAAAATGGCATGTCCAAACCCTGAAAAAGTTCATCCCAAGGCATTACGGCAACAACCAAACATTAACAATTCTCCAACAAAAAAAGCACCAGATTTTGCATTTTATTTCAAACTTCAAAGGTGAAACAAAAACTATTGATGTGAACAGCTATTCCTCAACACCAAGTATAATAAAAAGATAGATAGTGATATAAAAGGCACAGCTCAACATGACGTACCAGTTCAGGCACATAATCTATTCCTCCCTTCACTTTCAAACTCACAATCTTGAATTTAACATTGCTCTTCTGGTCCATTTGTTTTGCATTGTTCTCCGGTTGCTCCACAAACTTGAAAACTATCAATCAAAAAATAAAATTCTAATCAACAGACCAAACAACACAAAATACAACCAAGAGCTACTAAGCACATCACCCCTTGAGACACAAACAAATGGAATGATCATGAGTAAATTACCCGTCGCAATAAGGCTCTCTCCTGGAGCAAGGATGCCACCGGGTGGACGCATGTAACAGCTCTTCGGTGCAGTTGTTTGAAACTATAACATCACAAATAGATATCAGTTAGATAGTTCAACAAGATCGTTATCAGTGATCACAAGTCAGAACACTAACAAGCATAAACTCAGGTTTTTTTTTTAAAATAAAAAATCAATAAAAAATTCACATTGAAATTTACTTAAGAATAAAAAAAAAAACACACACACACACAAAAACAAATTACTACAGGTAGGACACCAGCAGAAAAGATCCCATTCAGTGTACTTACAAAATATTTAAAATAGACACCTAAAATGCAAACCACCAGGTTAAATTTAATTCGTATTATTAAATAATGTAATTACCCTCTGTGTTGAAATTATTAATTTTAACAAACATTGATACCTTAAAAGCAACATTAGACTTGCTTCTGTTCTTTAACCTTATCGCACTTCTTACTTGTTTCCCGGGTTCATCTATAATAAGAATAAGAATAATTAATATTAAAATAAATTAAACAATAATAATAGCCAAAAAAATAGTTGACAAAAGTGAAAGTCAACAGGGAGAAGATTAAAACACAGCGTACAAGGGAAGTAGAGATTATTAGCAGGATCAAGCCGGAGCCTTCGCGGAGCAGGTAAAAGCGATCGCGCAACAGAGGACACCGTTGTGGACTTCAAACCGCTCCTATTAACAGCCACGTGTCGGACACCGTTGCTGCTGCCCTTATGACTGTGGTTAAGGTTTTGTGTAGAAGAGGAAGAGGAAGAGTTAGTCGCTGTTTGCCAGAACGGACAGAGCCTAAACAGCTTCATGTTGTGGTCGCCGTTATTTTTATTCCGGTCAGACATCCCCATCTATTACCGGAAACTCCACGTGGCCGGAAACCAAAAAGATTATCAGTTAGTTATGTAGCTGTTCAGTAAGAAGAAGGCGTGCCTGGAACGAGTTTTAAACATGGGTGTCGGATTTGAAATGGTTTTTGTCTAAATTGAGATTTTTATATTTTGGTTCTGGAGTCCGTGCTTTGGTGTGGTTGTACGCAAGGGTAGATGCGGGATTGAGCAGAGGTAGAGGGGGTATATTAGGTATGAAAAGTAGCGGAGGGTGATGGTGGAGGGGAGGAGCGTTAATCGAGCTGGTGATGAGAATTAATGAAGGGAAAATTAAATTAGGTAAGGTTAATGTTATGGCATTTACGGTTGTCGGCTACGTTTGTTGGCGTGGTGAAAGGTTGGTTGGGGATTAGTTGGGCAATTAATTAGGTGAATAGTGACACTCTTCTGGTGGGCGTGCCCCTGAATATTTAATGGCTTCCGCGGCTAAGAAGCAGTCGACTGGCTTTGCTCTGTGCTATAAATAACACTATCCTAATATGATGAGATTTGTCTAAGTTATCATTAGAGTGAGATTAAAGATTTGTTATCCAAGTGTGGTGGGTCATTTGTTGCCTAATACCATCTTGCTTTGCCGAAAAGGAAATGAGTTTCCCTTGTTCTTCCCTGTTAAATTATTAAATACTTCTGGTGTGTTGTTTTTTATTAAAAAGTAAAATTCTTTATGATAATTAATTATATAAATACCTTTTAAATTATGTTGTTAGCAATAAATTACACCACCTATGTGGAATCGGTGTCTATTAACATGTTACACTAGATTCAGTTAGGTAAGTTGTTTAGTGTTGCTAATAGCTGCATCTAGAAACACACGCTGTTTTTAATTATAAAATAATTATAAAACAATATTTTTTAAAAATTCAATCAAAAGCTAGTAATACTAAAAGATATATAATTTGACTTTTAACTAGTAAATAAATATCATGTAAAAAATTTACACAAACTGTCTCATTATATTCCTTTATGCCTCCCTATGTTAAATTATTAAATACTTTTTGGTATGTTATTTTTTATTAAAAAGTAAAATTGATTATGATAATTAATTATATAAATACCTTTTAAATTACATCGCAATCAATTACACCTGTGTAATTTGTGTTTGTTAACATATTAAAGTAGATTCAACTAATTATGTTGCATGTGTTATTCCAAGTTATTTTTAGAAACTTGTGCTATTTTTAATTATAAAACAATCAAAATAAAAAAAAAGTCATTTCTAAATATACAATCAAAACTAGTAACATTAAAAAGTATATAATTTAACTTTTAAACAATAAATAAATAATATTAAAAAAAACTTACGTTTTGAATCTCATATAAAAATCAATTTATAAAATATAAAAGGACATGTTATTTCAATAATTCAAAACAAAATGTAGCATGATAAATAAAAAGAATATGGAAAATCTTTTAATATTGTACTGTAAACAATTATTTAATATTGTTATTACATCTAGTCTATTGTTTTAATTTTAAAATTTTTTAATCTGATCATTTATCTCTAATTTGAATTTAAAGTTAAATTGTATAATAATTGCTACAAATTAATAGAAAAAACATAAATCTTGATTTTTTAAATTGTCCGGAAAAAACCGTTAGCGATATGTCTTCTTCCATTTTAAATGACCTGTCACCCACCTTAATAAAGACAAACAATGCATCATCCTCTCCTAAAATTAAAATTAAAAAAAAAAAACAACAACAACAACCAAGCATTGGCAGGCCTGGGCTTTTTCATTAGGAAAAGGTGAGTGGACATAGCCCATTAATGCCCAATTTCTTTATTCTTGTTTTTATCTATTGTTTCTATTTTTAAATATTGATTTATGCACTTTCTTTTATTTCTTAAACAAATTGAATTATTTTGTTTTAATAAGCGTTTGATATTTTTATATGCTTTTAGTTATATGATACCCTGGAAAGATTAGCTTGATTTATATTGAATTTTATTATTATTATATTTGATATGATTTAACTGTATTTGTATGAAATTTTTATAAAACAAACATAAATTATTTGTTATTAGCAATAATATTGAACCACTTATGAAAATATTTAAAATAAAAAGGATAGTTAATGTAAAATTTTCTATATCTATTTATATTTTATTTCTACAATAAAAATTAGCTTCTCACT